AAGATCAAGCCCATCACAAGAATGAGGAGCCAAACTGCTGATGGATGGGGCCGTGTTTAGCTCAGGCCTGGAGCCAAATGCACTGCTGTCCTTCCCAAACTGCAGGTCTGCTGATGACCAAGAACACAGACCCTTGGGAGGGTCCAGAAGAGCCTGGCTCTGGACAGAGCTGACCTAGCTGGAGCTCCTGTGCATCCCAGCATTTCAGCTCTGCTGCAGTGCTGCTGCACAGCACAGACTTGGGACACTGCAGTCCTGGGGCTTGCCCTCAAGAGGTTTTTTTAGGTTTTAGCTGCCCAGCTCTGGCACGTGGCTCTCTGTAGGCTGCTACCCTCAGTGGGCCCCTTCCCCAAAAACTCTGAGTTGTGGATGGTGAGCTCTTGTAGCAGCCCCATGTCACAAAGTGCCCTGTGTGCACTGGGAAAACACGACCTTTGCTAGATCCTGGCTTGGTGGTGGGGCTGGAATTTGGGATGGCAGCAGAAGTGCCACTCGTGCTTGGGCACGGCCATCTGATGTGGTGACAGACACTTGGAATAGGCAGCAAGGCTATCTGTGCTGTCTCAACAGAGTGCTTTACCCCCAGCCTCAGAAAACCCCTAGGAGGAAATTTGATTTAAAATGGTTCTTCCTGACTCCCAGAAGGCCCAGGAGTGAAGAAGGGCTGAGCAAGGGTCACTCATCACCAGCTCATTAAAGGCAGAAACCCAAAACCCCAGGGAATGAGGCAGCCCTGACACGGGTCATTGGCACGCTGCTCCACGCTGTGATTTGGCAGTTGGGAATGCACACTTCCAAACGGGGATGGCTTTGTTATTTTTAGCATTACATACAAAGTAGTCCCTGTTTTCGTGCCACAGGACCAAATCCAAGGTGGTGTTTCCTCTTGGAGATGTAGATGCTTTGTTTCTGTGAGATCCTGGGGCAGAGCTGTGCTGTATTTTCATTTGCATTTCTCATGTATAACTCAATACAGAGTTTTGTGCTTGAGAGTGTGCAGGGCCTGGGGGAGGAACATCCCTCACCACTGTGAGGCCTCAGTGGGATCCCAGCAGGACTGAGAGCTCAGGGAACATCTGGGGAGGCTGAGGGATGGCTGATGCACTGGCACCTGTCCTGCTGCCCACTCAGGGCAGGAGGGACGCTCCCGGGAAGAGCAGAGCATACACTGGCAGTTTTCCATCAGCGTTCTCTCCTGGGTGTGTGCACCCTGCACCTGAGGGCTGCCTGGGGAGGCTGCCAGCTGAGAAGCTGCCTCTGAAGAAGGATTTCCCCTTTTCACCAGGAGCAGCATCCCCTTGTGCTGCCACAGGGTGCAACTGCGGTTTTGGAGAAGGGAGAGGGAAGGAGCCACCAGCATCCCTTCTCCCCATCACCATTTGCACATCAATGTGCTCTCCCTTACGGGGTGAATTCAGAAAAAAACACATTTGCACTTGAATACCCAGCTAACATCTGGGCCAGCAGTTGATGTCTCCATCCATCTCCGAGGCTCACTGCTACAAGCACTTAACTTTACCCTTGCCCAGATGTGCCTGTTCTCTGTGCTGTACAGAAAGGCAGAAATTGCACGGGGTGGAATGTGTTGGAATTGGCACTTTGGAAAATGCACGCTCTGCTGGAATGTGCTAACATCCAGCTCACACAGAAGGGCAATTAACTCTATTTATGTTCATGAGCCTGAATCTAAAACTGGCTTCAGAAAGCAGCTCTCTCACATTAAAGGGCTTTATAATCATTATGCTAAAGTATTTCTTTTGAAAACATTTTCCGTTTCTTAAACAGTTAGGATATTTATAAAATATGGCATCAATTACTACATATTTCTTTATTCTCACTGATTAAACAACCTATAATTATATTTAAGCCTCTTATTTGTGTATCATGGCAGCATTAAGAAAAGCTCTGTGATTTGTCTGCATGGTTTTTTTTTTCCAAATAGCAGAGGGCTGTGCTCTCTCTCCTCCTTTGGAGCATTGCTGTGGTGGAGTTGCCCAAACAGCAGCAGCCAGGTGCCTGCTGCCCCAGCCAGCTCCTGGCAAACGGGCTGGCAGTGTGTTGTGACAGGTAATATTCAGCTCTGTGTTTCTTGGACTCTGAGTGCAGTGTTTACAGCAGCTCCTCACAGTCGTTTACTCGCAGAAAAAACATTTTCCTGGATCCCTTTTGCGTGCTGTGAAACAGTGTTGGAATAACCAAATGCTCTCTGGCAGTGCATTGTTCACAAAGGCTGCTGGGGACACAGTGAGGGATCGTGGGGACACCACGAGGGGACACGGTGAGGGGACACTGTGCAGGGACCCTGTGTGCCCCCCCAGGGCTGAGCTTGGCTGGCACCAGTGCAGGGGTGTGGGGAGCAGCTGGGACAGGGCTGGCAGCAGGGCCTGGCTGTGCTGCAGTGCTGCTGCTGGATCCTTTGGACTTCCCTGCTAGAAGGGTCTGAAGGCAAAGCTCCTGCTGGGACAAGGGGCACTGGCCATGCCCTTTGGATCCAGCTGATCCAGGGCTCCTTCTCCTGCATGGATTGTGTGCTTCCGCAGGATCAGCCTGGATTCTCCTCCTGCAAGGATCCTGTGTTCTCAGCAGATCAGTTTGGGCTCCTTCTTCTGCATGGATCCTGTGTTCCCAGAGGATCATCCTTGCTCCTTCTCCTGCATGGATTGTGTGCTTCCGCAGGATCAGCCTGGATTCTCCTCCTGCAAGGATCCTGTGCTCCTTCTCCTGCATGGATCCTGTACTCCTTCTGCATGGATCCTGGGCTCCCTGAGGGTCAGCCTGGCTCCTTCTCCTGCATGGATCCTGGGCTTCCTGAGGATCAGCCTGGGCTCCTTCTCCTGCATGGGTCCTGGATCCCAGAGGATCAGCCTGGATTCTCCTCTTGCATGGATCCTGTGTTCCCAGAGGATCATCCTTGCTCCTTCTCCTGCATGGATCCTGTGTTCTCAGCAGATCAGCCTGTGCTCCTTCTGCATGGATCCTGGGCTCCTTCTCCTGCATGAATCCTGGGCTCCTTCTCCTGCATAGATCCTGTGCTCCTTCTCCTGCATGGATCCTGTACTCCTTCTGCATGGATCCTGGGCTCCCTGAGGATCAGCCTGGCTCCGTGCTCGGCAGTTGGCAGCACAGGCAATGGCAGTCTGGAATTCCCAGATGGCAGTCTGGAATTTGTGCTGTGCTGGCGAGGTGCAAGCCATTGTTTCTCTCTTGGCAGAGTGGCTGAGAGAGTCCCAGCACAGTGGGGCCAGGGATTCTCTTGCTCTGTTTATGGCTCTAACGTTTTGCATTGTTTCTGCTGACCTTTGTGTCCCAAACACTTCCCCTTTTTTGTGAAACTAGGGCTTTCTGCCTTAGAAAACCTTGATGTGGAGAAGTCTGTACAGTGGGAGAACTGAAACAGTTTCATTTTTCCACCTTGTTTTTCTTCAGTGGCCCTTCTGTTCACTTCGAGATGGAAGTGATACAGTTATCTAGCAGGAGCAAACAGACTGGTCCAACTGAGAACTTGAGCCACTTCCAAAATCCCTATACAATATTTCACAAGCTGCATCTGATCCTTGAAGCTCCTTGCTTTCTGTGATTACACCTTCTCTGTTTGTCTTTAGTCATCCTGTCTTCCCTGGGGCTCTTTCTGAGTGCCCTTGTGCTGGTCCTTTGGCTCCTGCTGCATCCCTGTGGTACAGGCTGATCCTTCTGGGAAGGAGAAGGGCATCCTCAGCTTATCCAGGTGGGCACACATGCTTTTCCCCAGCAAGGTCCTTCTCCCTGAAGCAGGATACCTTAGCTCCAGCCGGGAACATAGAGCTCCTGCTCTTTGATAAGCATCTCTCAATACCTGAACTGTTTCCTCCGAGTAAAAAGGATTTGAAAGCAAGATACTTGTATCACTTTTGTGCAAGTATCAGATTACGGCATGGAAACCAGATTGTCTGCAATTAGATAACTGAATTAATAGGAAGGCAGACATAATCCTGTACAATGTGAAAGAGGTTCATTGTTTGCCTGCAGATACTGAAATTTCTTCGGTTCGCTCTCAGAAAAGCACTGTTGTGTTTTCCAGAGTGGCACAGAATTTGATCTGCTCTTTCTTTCACCTTTGGGATGGGGTCCAAAGTTAATTCCCTGCAGATCACCTTACTTTATGAACAAGAGGAGCTCCTCCTGCAGTGCCTGTGCTGGGGAGAACCAGCTGGGAATGCTGTGGAGCTGCACACCGGGAACAGGAGCAATCCCGGGCTCAGAGATCCCTCTCCCAGCCTGGTGGAAGAGGCCAGGAGCAGATGCTGGGCTGTGGGTGAGCTGCCAGGGGAAGGGGCAGCATGCAGCTGGTACTGCCCAAAGCAGAATGCCCCAAGCCTGCTGGTTTGACCCTCCAAAAATACATTTTCCCCTGTTCAAGGCATGTAGAGGAGAAGGAATTGTCTAGCAGCAGGGAAGCGTATGAGCTGTCAGATGTGATTTGCCTGTGATCACACCTCAGCTTTTGAATTAGATCCCTTTAGGGTTGGGACACTGGTGCTCACCAGCCCGCTCTCAAATCCCTGGGAGCTTTGTGGAGATGGATGACACAGCCTGAAACTTGGTGTGTCATTTTTTATGCCTGTGGACAGGGTTCAGCGGTGAGCTCAGCAGCGCTGGGGTAATGCTTGGCCTTGCTGGCCTTAATGTTCTTTTCCAGCCCAAACGCTTCGTTATTTTATGATGTTTCTGTGATTCCACGCCCTGCATGAAGCCCCAGCGCTGCTGCCAGAGGCTTTCCCTGCTCCCGGCGCTGCTTCTGGCGGCAGGCTGCGGCGAGCCGGGCGGCGGAGCCTCCCCGTTCCCGGCTCCGCTTTCCACCTTCCTTGGGCTGTGGTGCCTCCTGCTGCCGGGCTGCGGGGTCTCTGTGCCCCCGCCGGGCCCCGGGATGCCGGGGATTGTCCCCAAAGCCGCGCGGTGGCGCGTTTGTCCCGGGAGCGAACGGCGGCGCGTTTGTCCCGGGAGCGGCGGCGCGTTTGTCCCGGGAGTGGCGGCGCGTTTGTCCCGGGAGCGGCGGCGCGGGGGCTCGGAGCCTCCGGGGGCTCGGAGCCTCCGGGACCCGCCCGCCCCAGCTCCCTGTCCCGGTCCAGCTTCATTGCTTTTGTTATTTGTGATGCGTTTGGATATTATCTGTATGCATACACAGATTCTTTAATATGATATTTGTTATAATTGTTATATATATAACATATAGTAATCATAGATACTATATATAATATTATATAGTATATTGTATTACTATATATATGTACACTATTGTATGCATATATTACTATATATATACTATATATATTATATATACTATCGTAAGTATATATTACTATATATATAGTAACATAATTATACTTTATAATGTATAAATATTAATAGTTACGATTATATAATATATTATTATATATAATATATATTGTGTGTATAATATTACATATAATAATATAGAATATATATTCTATTATTTATATTTATTGTAATGATATGCATTATATATTATATTAGTTTTATTATATGTATACATTATTATGCATATTATCAATATTATTATATGTTATCTCTATACATTATTATATATAACTGTATACATTATCCATATACAGATATCTGTTATATTATCTATATGCATTAACCATATATAGATATCTGTTATATTATCTGTATACAGATATCTGTTATATTATCTGTATACATTATCTGTATACATATAAAATATCTGTACAATGTATTCCATTATTTTTAATTGCCACTCTGGAATGAATCTTGGCGAGATCCATTTGCCCTAAATGCTGTATTTTTTAAAGAATAAGCCTAAAGAGCAGCAGCAGTGCTTTTCTTCTCCTCTGCCCAGGTAATAACAGATAACAGAATTTGTGCCAGTGAGAGCGCTGCTGAATTCTGCACCTGCCCTGGTTTCTGGGATTGAGCACGGCTGTCAGAGTTCCCAGTCTGGCCTAATGAGGTCGGTGCCTCTCTGTGCCATAACTAATCTGGACATACGAGCTGTTGCTTTATTCCTTTCACTAATTGCTTGTGGCTGTTAAAGCTTTTCATGCTTTAAAAAAGTGAAAGTCCATCCCCAGAAAATTCAGGAAATGATAACAGTCTCTGTGCTGGATGGAGGGGAGATGAGAAGACTTTTGATTTGTAATTTGTGGTCTAACTAATTAAGAAAGAACAAAACATAATGGAAGCTTTGTTGATTTTATTTAACAGAAAATCCAAGCGGGCTAATTTTTGCTGCGTGGATTTAAATGCAGAATGTGGGGTGCCTGAGACCTCCCCAGCCTCACTAAGGAGAGGGTAAGGAGCTCCCCTAAAAGCTATAATTAGAAAGGCAGCGATTTCCCCATGTGTTTTTATGTTTGAAGTGTTTTAAATGGCCTGGTCTCATCCACAGAGCTCCCTCCCTGTCTCCTTCTCTGCCTGCTTCCCTCCCCAGTTTCTCTAATGTGGGTCATGCCTCCACGTTTGCAGGTGGCACAGTACAGAATCTGCATTTTTCTTTTTCAAAGTTAAAGTGTCTTTGAAATATGGTTTTGCATCTAATGCAGAATGTAATAAAAAGACTTTAAAGAGCTGCTGACGCCTCATGGAAAAGTGAAAAACATTCTGTTGAGAAACAATCCTGCTAGGCTGTCTTATCTGCTGTTCCCTTTGCTCATTTTTGATAGCAAGGGGCACTATAAATATATGTAACTATACATAAAAATGAGAAACCTTGGCAACCAGAGAGAAGGTTGGCTGTTTTCTCGTGTTCCCTCACTGTGGGCAGGTGGGTGAGGGTAGACAGAGTTCATCAGTCTCGTTTCATCTTTACAGCTCCTCTGCTGACGCCGTGGCCGTTTGTTCAGCGCTGGGCTGAAAGGGAGTCACGTAGCAGTGGATTATTTTTTTCCTAGAGGTATTTGTTAACCCTCTAAAAATAGCAGCAGTGGTTTCTGGGGCGCTCTGGCAGGGCTGGCGGTGGAACAGGGAGGAAGCGACGCTCCGGAGCCAGAGGACAGGAGCTGCCATATGGCACTGGGGCCGGGCTGTGCTTCCCTGGAGAGGGGCAGCGAGGCAGGCAGGGGTGGCTCCCTGCTCCTGCTGGCTCCAGGGGCAGGGCAGTGCTGGTGTCACACTGTCCTGGTGTCACCCTGAGGGTGCTGGGGGCAATCCCTGCGGGAATTCCCAGGCTGTTGTATTGGTGGGGTGCCCAGACAAAGGAGCAATGATGAATCTGACTCCATGTTCTCAGAAGACTAATTTATCATTTTGTGATACTATATTATATTAAAGAATACTAAACTATACTAAAGGATACAGACAGAAGGCTAAAAAGATAATAATGACAACTCATGACTCTTTCCAGAGTCTGACACAGCTTGGCCATAATTGGCCAAAGAGTCAAAACAATTCACATGAAACCAATGAAACAATCACCTGTGGGTAAACAATCTCCAACCACATTCCAAAGGAGCAAAACACAGGAGGAGCAAATCAGGTAATTATTGTTTTCCTTTTTCTCTGAGGCATCTCAGCTTCCCGGGAGAAGAATCCTGAGCAAAGGGAGTTTTTTAGAAAATAGGAATGTGACACGCACCTCAGGGACTGCTTCCTGTGACTATGTCAGAAACCCACGACAGCTCCTTTCACCTGCTCTGCAGAACACAGGGGTTGCCTTGTGGAACTAATAGAATTGTTATTGTCATAGATGGGACCCCACACAGGCAGATTGCTGCTGCAAGGAGCAACTTTGATTATTTCCAAATGCCTGGGCAAAAGAACCTGCTTGATCCCCTCCTTCCTGACGGCTCTTGCAAAGAACATCTCTGTCAGAAGCCCAGTAGAGTCTGCTGAGAGGGGCTCAGCCTCTGTACAGTGGATGGAAAATCCAGATCTTGGAGCCTGGCTTGCAGAAAGGAGCTGCTCATTGCAGATGGAACCCACAGTGCTGCATTGCTGAGCTAAGAGCTCCTTGGCTGTTAAGTTTTCCAGTAATTTTCCCAGGTAAATGATGCACCTGCCATAGCCTCAGGAGAAAATGTTTATTGCCGTAGTGTTCAGAGAAATAAAGTTATTTTGGCACTGAAATACTGTACTCCCCTCCAAAACTGCACCTTGTTCATGCTGTCATAAATGGTAAAGCTGAAACCACAGAAGGTGGGCTGAAATTTCTGTAAGGTGTTGCAAGAGGTGCTTTCCTGTCATTAGCATTTTCTGAAGTGAGAGCCCTTCTACAGGAATTCTTGAGTGCATTATTAGCAAGTCGTGTGGAAAAGAGCTGCTTGGACAAAGGACAGCTGGTTTCCAGCTGGGGTCTGCCAGGGCTGCCACAAGAGGCTGAATGATGTGGGACAGCGTGGTGGTGCAGGCATCCTGGCAGGGCAGGCCATGTGAAAAATGCCCCTTTTCAGCAGGACAAAGCAAGCAGTTGCCTGGTAAAGAAGGCAATCCAATTTCAAATCAAGGGTCAGTCAGGAAGGCAATATGAAGCAGCTCAGTACACTCCAGAGTGGGGCTGTGAGAGGCTACAAATCACAGGTAATGTTTACATGGAAATTGCAGCTCTGTGAGATGCCACCCAAGGCTGATGGGATTCCTTTTAGGAACTTGGAACATCTCTTATTTAATATGTAATACTGAGAAACTGAGAAAGACCCTTTTTTTTTTTTTTTTTTTGCTTTCCTGCACTTGTGACTTGGTGTTCTCTGAAATGATGAGGTGACATACAGGTATGTTCTGCACAGAGCAATCCAGCCGTGCTGGGTGAGTGGGCTCAGACATCTGCACAGTATCATTCCCCTGTCACCAACTAATGGTGGTATAATTAGAAAAGTCATTAATCCTTGCTCAGCAGTGCTAGAACCTATTTATAGCAGGGCAGAAAGCCCTGCACGTGAGGCTAGGGTGGGTATGGAAATTGCTTCTGATGCCATGTGTGTTGTGGGGCCCAAACGAAGAGGGTAATGATTTGCTTCCAGGAGGGAACTTCCCTTTCTGACCCTGTGGAGACAGTGCAAACTGTCTCACCTGCCTGAGATATCACCCTCTGGACCAGCTATGGGCAATCCCTTTTGACATCCCCTGCAGGCTTGGATGTCCCAAGGCCCAGCCCTTTCCTGTGCAGCAGAGGGCAGGTAGAGCAAACCGGGAGCACACCTCCGTGTCTGCACTGCTGCCCAGGGCCGGCACACTGCACCTGGGCTCAGCCACCAGGGAGGTTTTGAGATGCTTTGGCTGGTAGGAGCCCTTTACTCAGCTCTCCTTCCCCCTGGGGGCTCCAGCTGTACCTGTTCACTGGGTGTGATGCTGCTCTCTGCCTCCAGACTGATGCTGGCGGCACCGGCACAGCTTGGTCCCCGGGTCTCTGAGCCACAGGAGAAACTGGGGCATTGGCGATGCTCAGTGAGTCACAGGCGAGGGAAGCTGCTATTTACAGGCTTCCAGGACACAGCTCAGCTTGGCTGAGTCCTTGTTTTTCCCTGTGTTTTCCATGTTTTTCCTGGGCAGGAGTCAATATTTCTGCATGAGGGGTTCAGTCATCTCCCCGTGCCTGGGCTTCGCCTTGGTGCCCGCCCTTGGTGTGTCACCATGATACCTTATGAAAATCCCTTTGCCAGGATTTTTTCTCCTGAGAAGCCTTAGAGGAAAAGAAAAACAATAATTATCTGCTGCTGTGGAATGCAACAGGTGCATCTTTGATTGGTCCATGTGAGTTGTTTCTACTTAATGAGCAGTCATGGTCCAGTTGTGTTGGACCCTCTGCGAGTCACAGGTTTTTATTATTCATTCCATTCCTTTCTAGCTTTCTGATGGATCCTTTCTCTCTATTCTTTTTAATATAGTTTTAGTATAGCACTTTAATATAATATACAATCATAATACAATAAATCAGCCTGCTGAAACATGGAGTCAAGGTTCTCATCTCTCCCCTCGTCCTGGGGACCCTTGAACACTACGACACTTGGTGAGGGGTGGGAGGACCTTGGGACTTTCTGAAGCAGCCAGAGGCTGCAGTGGAGAACTGCTGGGTGCTGGGCAGTGTGCAAGGAGCCTGTGGAGCTGGTGCAGGCAACCAGTGCCTGGAAGTGGAGAGCTGCAGCAGCTGCGGGAGTGGGTGCTGGTGAGGTGCTGGGGGAGCTGTGGAGCTGTGCTGGGGTCAGCTGAGGTGGCATCGTTCAGAGAAACGCTCTCGTTGTCAAGTTAAACACTTCACTGGGTTCTGCCTAGTGAGGCACAAATAGCCTGTCTGTGTGCTGGCAGTCAGGCAGCAGCATAACCACAAGGGAAATATGTTTCTGTCTGGGCTCGCTGCATCTTCCAGGCTTTGCTGGAACGATTTCTCAAAGAAAGCATAAAATTATTTTAGCCTCTGAGATTAGTGGACCAAGCCTTTCTCTCTTTGGAAAAGAGACTGAAATCCCTCTGAGGGAGGCCTGGTGGGCTGCACTGTGGTGGGACACGGGGAGGGGGAGAGGACCTGTTGGAAAAGGGGCACCCGCTGTTTCAGCATTGCGGGAAGTCCCAGCGCTGCCTTTGGCTGCCAGAAGGAGCACTCGGGCTCTGTGGTGTGCCTGGATCATAAAAGGTGACCTCGGAAACTGCATTTCCAAACATCTTCCCCTCTCTGGGAACGATGGCATTGTTCCCAGTGTTTCAGGCTGGGACTGCCTGGGGCTCTTTGTTCAAACTCCCTGGGTGCTGCAATTCCAGCACAGAGCTAATGATGCTTCGCCAGAGCCTGGGATCCTGGGAGGCGGCTGGATCAGCCTTTTGTTATCCCGAGGATTAAAAACTGCAGCTGGGGATGAGCTGCAGAAATCAAAGTCACTTATCTAGAGACATCCCGCGGGCATATTTAGCAGTGTGATGGAGCCAGGGTCAGCCACTCCTTTAGGTTGTTTCAAGCAGCACGAGAAGGCAGCAGGACCCACAAACCTCGGTGAAGAGGCACAGCTTTCAAACATGCTCAGAAAACTTTGTTTTGCAAAGAACCTGCTGCTGATTTCACCGCTGAATGTCAGGAAAGGAGAAGTCCAAAGTGCCGCAGGAGAGAATCTGAGACGTGGATGTCACAAAGGCTCAGGGAGTGCCCAGGTGCAGTGAGCACTGCTGACAGCAGCTCTGGGCACAGGGATGGGCTCCTGGCTGTGTCACACCTGGGCAGCCCCACCTGTGCTCACGGCTGAGGGCTTTGGGAACTCTGATGTGAAGTTTTCTCAAGCCTCTGCCTCCTTCTTCTGGATAAAGCCAGGAGCTGCTGTGCCCAGCGCCCGTGCTGCTTTGTGCCCTGCATCCATCTGCCATCTCTGCTCTTA